GGACAATACATCGATGGGCTTTTCAGCCGCAGATCTGGGGTAAGCGACTTGATTTCGGAGATGCATGTTTTATGGGAAGACAGAGTTGACGACGGGGCTATCTACAGGCGGGTAGACAAGTAGGAGCTCGAGGGGCTACAAACAGCACCCCAATCAGGACGTTAATCTCGCCGGTGTCGTAGCAGTTTCTAGTGTAGACTTGTCTGACAGAGTCTGAAGTGCTACATCGTAGCGAACTGACTAGATGGCATCTATACCCGAGCCTCCTCCCCATCTCCCCTCTTTTCAAATAAACCTTCGATCTTCTCCAGACTCTGTCCTTTTGTCTCCGGCATCAAGTAGCAGACTGCCACGGCAAGGATGGTGGCAAAGCCGTAGAGAAAGTATGGACCGCTGGGCGACGACCGTAGGAATAGAGGCGCCGTGAGAGTCACAATGAAATTCACGATCCAGTTAGCAACCAGTTCCAAGGCGCAGACCTTGGCCCGAAGCCTGGTGGGAATGATCTCTGAGGCGTAGATTTTGCCAACCTACACGCCGCGATTAGCAAGTTTATTATCCATACCAACAAAGCATAGAAGAACTTACCACGGCCCACGACCAGGAAAAATTGGCCACAAACACATATATCAAAACAATGACTACCCACTGTGCTGCGGTCGAAGTGAGAATGACTGAGTCCGCAGTGGAGTGACCAAATCTGGCATATAATGACCCTGTAACAATGAAAGAAATGGCCATCACCAATCCTCCGATAATAAGGGGCATCCGGCGACCCCATCGGTCAATCCAGATCTGAGCGGGGATGGTGCAGACCAACATTACGATGCCGGTGACCCCTGAGGAAAGAAACGAGGCCTTTTCGGAACTGAAACCCGCTTGTCGGAAGAGGATCGGGGCGTAGTATAGAACAACGTCAATCTGGCTCTCCATTAATTTCTGGGTTACACGATAGGACCCAAGGAATATAGCCAAGTGAAAATACAACTTGCCCCAGTCAATTGTTGAAAAGACATTAGGAATATCCCAAGAGATGTTCGGCTAATATACTTCCGACCAAAGATTTCTCCCCAGCTGGCGACTGATTTGTGTCTATCTGACTGTAAGCTCTGCTGGATTTCACGTAGCTCGGAGTCGACTGCTGTTGCTGTCCGTAACTTGCTCAAGACACGCCTGGCATCATCGCTTCGACCGGCCTGGACGAGCCACCGGGGCGAGAAAGGCAGGAGCAGCAACCCGAGGGAGAGCACAGCTGCCATGACCGCTTGCACGATGAACGGCAATCTCCAGGCCATACTGCCTGATAACTCATGAGATCCATATGCGATAAAATATCCAGTCATGATGCCAATTACAACATAAAGCTGCAGGAGACAGGCAGTCACCCCACGGATATCCGCCGTGGCGATCTCGACGAGATAGACCGTCGCGACGGAGATGGCTTGACCCATTCCCATTCCCGTGATCAGACGGCCGACGATGAGAGCTGCGAAGTTGGGCGAAGATGCGGAAATGACGGTCCCGATAAGAGAGAGGATGCTGCCTATGAGGAGGCCATATTTTCGCGAAATGCGGTCGGAGATATGGCCGCTTGCTAAAGAGGATATTGAGGAGGAGAGGAGGATGCAGGAGACGTAGATTCCTTGTTGCATGGAGGTTAAGGGGCTGATAGACGCGGCGAATTGGTCCATCTGGGTGATGACACCGATAGAACCTGCTCATCTTATTCAACGGTTTTCGACGTCTTCGTGTTGGTCGTGCTTGACTGACCTGTGTCTAGCCCGTATAGGAGCCCCGCCAACGAGACATGGCTGGCGATCAGAAATATCTTCTTGGTCGGCGAAAGCATCTGGATAGTACGGTCTTACAGGAAGAGATGTATTGAGAGGAAGTACATGTGAAGCAGGAAGGCGAGGTGGCTGCTTAAGGAGAGATTCAGACCTACCGTCTGACCATGGAACAAGCTGGGAAATACTACATTAGCATTACTACCTTACAAGATGTACGGTTGGGAAAGACGAGTAAAGCGGACGGACCTATTCAGCAAAGTCAGAACAACCTGAACTGCTTGGCTTTACCATGCTCTTTGTCTTGGAAGAAATAATATCAACCATCTACCCCGCACTTGCGGTTGGCCTAATGCCCTTTGCAAGGTAACCGCCACAGGCGCCCAGCGGACCGGCAGCCTGCAGCCTGCAGCCTGTGACAGCTCAAGAGAAAGCGTGGCAGTTTATTAGCACTCCGTGGCTAATCCCGAGTCCCGTTGGTATGTGACTGTGGCACTATGTGCTCTACGAATAGAGTTTTATATACTGTCAAGAATCAAGACTTTCGGCCCGAACCGACACCAATTCTAAGTTAGGTTGTTCATATAAGGCTACTCATGCTCATGATTACTTGGTGAAATATTAGAACTAATAATCATATCATCTTGAATGTTTTAGGCAGGTAAATCCGTACTTTCAGAAGAACGCGTATGACGGGGTACTCAATGTCACATCTAGATTAGGTCGCTTAGTCCTGAGGTGTATTTTCATTAAATATGAATGGATGTCTAGTATTTGATTGGCAAGATCAAGAGGGCCTGCTGAAATAGCCTCTTTTGCCTTGTCAATATTGCCTTGACGGCATGGGGTTGGCTTATTCTACGGTGGAATGCTGCACACTCACTGCCACTGTCCATTCATGGTCCAACGATCGGGGAGCGCCAACTATCCCCGGCATTAACGTTACAGGCTTCCCCAGCCATTTGAAAGTGACCCACAGGCTAATTCGTTAACGCTGCTGATCTGACATCCTTTTCTTTGATTACCCTTGGGGTGTAGTTGCATCCTCGGACTCGCCGGTGTTTCTCTGAAACCGCAGCGAAGCCAAATACTATCGAGCAGCGTGAGGCGACACGAGCCAGTCCAATCAATAATATAGAAAGAAGAAAGGAAAAGTGGAGGATTGGACGAAAGCAAGTCTATAGCAATCATTGGCACTAATCGACACTTAAAAATAACTACAGTGGAGATAAAATTGGGTTGCATTTCTTTTAGGAAATTATGGGATGTATCCCCGGCCACCAAGTGTTGAATACGATTAGAAAACTCATAGCATATGATTAAGATAACTGGTAGCTTTAATCCCTCTGATGTCTCTCGGAGTCGGTCTCATTTTCCTCGGCGCAAAATGGAAACCCGAGTCCGACTAGTACCTATATCAAACTGCAGGGATAATGAAACGGACTGATCAGCATGGCTTAGCGTAGTTAGAGAGACGTACTAAGATTTAGTCACTTAGGATTCTTCCAAAAAGTTCATTCCAATGTGCATACGCAAGCAAGTTATCCCGCTAGACAAGAGCAGGGATCTCAGCTACCTGGTATTGTGGTTGGCCCCGGTAGTTCTGTTAGTACAGACTACAGCGGGACCTTGCAAGAGTGCGAATCAATTCAAAATTCAATTCTGCTGCTATATAGGGTGATTATCTGATACTTTATATATCTGTAAGGAAACTCCCAGGAACTGCATTCCAGGCACCTCAAACCACCTCTCATTGAGCATCATAAGATTGTGATGATGAGATATTCCTTCTAAGTCATTCATTTGATACATACCATCTCGATTGGACTCAAATCAGGAGGGGAGTAAGCTGGAGATTTAATTAGATAGATTCCGACTAGAACACTCCTTATTACATGTGTCTGGAAGTTCATTGACAGTCTCTTAATCAAAATGACCCAATGCAACATCGTGCATAACTAGAGTCAGACATCTTACCACCTAAGTAAGCGAAGCTAGCTATTAAAATTATAGGAATCACCCTTTGAGAGTATCACTCTGTATGAATTAGCCACATTCCTTCTCCCAGAAACAGACATTGCCCTTTAGAAGAACCCTGAAATGAGCCCTAAATCATCCACCCGCATCTTTTACGAGGATAGGTGTGATGGCAAGGCTCTTCTAGTCTAGCTTTTTACGGGCCTTCCCAGTCACTTAGACTTGCTTATGGAACTAATGGAAGGCCGATGTAACCTAGTCTCGTGGTTCGTCAGACTAGAGGACGTGATTCCATTGCTGCATTATCCAATTCACATGCTCCAGGGCCTAGGCGAGGCATACCCACCTGGTATAATCTGATAAATGGGCCTTTCAAAGGCAATGCAACCTAAATAAGCTCATTCCTTTAATGCATGAGCAAGGGCAGTTATTCCAATAAGTAGAACACGTTCTTGGAAGGGCTGATGAAAGAAATGCAGCGGTTTTGCGTGATGAGGCGACGAATAGTATAATATTATCAACAACCATCTTTAAAGAGCTCCGTGGCTGGCCAGGGGCCCAGGAGCCTCTCCCGTGTCATTAAATGACTGGCTTAGCAGGTATACTGGACCTGCAAATACGTGATTCTAAGCTGATTCGAAGTCTCTTGATAGGTAAAGCTGCAACTTATACGGCTAGAACATGACGATTTACCCTCTGCTCAGATATGTGCTGAGGGGGTTTGCTAGCTTCTGGGATGAGCATTGTAAGTAGTGATGGTGTTGCTAAAGAAATGCCGCTCCCTAGACTCACCATGATGGGAGGCCTTACAGCTCTATCCCAAAATTGAGTAGGAAGGCAGTGACGGATAGATTTCAGTACTTTGGCTCGCAACCTTGCAAGTCCCACCATACTAACGAAACAACCAGGGCCAACCACAGTACTCAGAAGCAGAACACGAATCAGGCCAGCAAGATGTGCTTGTTATTGAATGGGAAGTTATAGTCCAAGTGCAAGGATAATGTGATGGATGCTTCGGTCAGAGTTTTTGGTATAGTTAGAGAGACACTACTATTTCAGCCAGAGAAAAAGTTCAATTCAATGTGCACATGCAAGTAGATGAGGTGTAAGCATCTGTCCTGAGTAAACTATATAAAGAGTAGGAAGTTCCATGTGGATTACAGACCTGCCAGGCTGTTGAATAAGTTGTAAAGGATAACCTAGTCATCTATATCCATCCCTCAAGTGATAGCACCTATGGATGTCACACAGTGCGGTTTGGGGCCACAGAGTATGTTCTGTGCGTATTTTGATACTGCATTTACACTAATTTATGCCGATTCAGGACCGGAGTTTCGCTTGCCTTCTGACATCGATGGAGTCCGTCAAGACCTCTTCACCAAAGGCATTGCTTTTGTCGAAGACTGTGATGAATCCTCCCTTGTGCATCTGGGTAACCAACTTGGGGAGATAGTTCGACCCCGAAATGAGAAGACTCATGGTAGTGGCATAAGTCATATTCGATTTGCACCGAACTTGACAGGGAAAGGATACAGCTCCGAAGGTGAGTAATACACTTCCAGTGTGTTAGGATGATACATTCTTGCAGGACCCGTTCAATTGACAGGTAGAAACCACCAGAGCTATTTTTTCACACGGATCGCAGTGGATGGGATGAGCCACCGCGAATCCTGATGTCCACTCTTAAAAGTAGATCAGAAACCGGCGGCGAGTCTCTGCTGGCAGATGGCTATCAGGTGCTTGAGGTTCTCAAACAAGAGGACGAAGAGCTCTACGATTTGATCACGAACTCAAAGCACACCAGCTTCCGTTCTGATGACGAAGTGTTCGTCCCCAGGGCCATCTTCGACAGAAAAAAGGGTATTCTTCGCTTCAGGTTCGACGATAGCATCCAGCTGTCTGCGTCCATGGTATCCCGCTTTTCCAAATTGCATGATATCATTTATGAGAATGCCTTTGTTGTCTCACTACAGCCCGGCCAGGGATATATCCTTGACAACCATCGGTATCTGCATGGTCGAGCCTCCTTCTCCGGTTCTCGTGAGCTGCTGCGAGTCCTTGTAAAGCCTCACGCTCCTCGACGGGAAATGGTTGTTTTGTTTGACATCGATGGAACCCTCTGCCGCTCGGAAGAGCTCAGCATTGACGCGTACTTTTCCTGTGTCAGTGCAGTGGTGGGTAAAACCATTACTCATGCCAATACCCCAGTGAACCTGCACGGACAAACAGACCTAAGCCTGCTCCATGCCATCCTTGAGTATCACGGTGTGGATGATAAATCCCTGCTTACGGAGAAATTCTTCCAACTGCACCCACAGTATCTGGAAGAATCTAACGCAAGAGGCTTACCGGCCGTACCCTGTCCGGGCGCAAAGGAAATCCTGGGCTGGCTCACGGAGTACCGGAACAAGCGTTATCCCCCTTTTCACATCGGCCTGCTAACAGGCAATTCGCGCCCGAACGCTCTTCTCAAGCTTCGTGCAGCAGGAATTGATACCAGCATGTTCGATCTTGAGATCTCCTCTTTTGGAGATGTTCACCCTAACCGCCAATCCTTGTTTCAAGACTCGTTCGCCAAGCTGCAAGCGTGGTATGGTCTTGGGATCAATGCACACGATATCATCATTGTGGGTGACACTCCTCTCGACATTGAATGTGCCAAGCAGTCTGGTTGCTCGATCATTGCCGTTGCTACAGGAGGCTACAAGCTAGATGACCTCGCCTTGCTCCAGCCTGACTTTTGCTGTAGCAGGTTGACTGAGGCCAAGGATTTCTTGGCCCTGAAGTTCGCTTGAGCTCCTGTATCTCGCCAAGGGGAAGGCTAGAAGCTGGTAAAGATGCTGAGCGTCACCAAATGGACTGGAATCGCGTCAAAGGTCCGATTTGTGCGATCTATGTGCCACACTATCAGAAATTCTTGAATATAGACATGGAATTTGAAGGGCCTAATGAGTAGATACATATTAACCTTGCTCATCCAAGGCACAGTGATCACATATTTCCTCCTTGAGTGTTGCATACACATAGAGTGCAACGCATAACATCCAAATAATCATCCTATATGGTATCAGTCCTGCTCCACTTTCAGCATATATAATATAGGGTTTGGGGAACGGGGTCTCCCATCGGCTCAGCTATACTTAAGCTAGTATTGTGGCTGGTGAACAAGGTCGGACACCGTTTGATTGTTCATCCAAGATAAATTCCCCTTTTGTAATTTCGTCAAGGAAAATAAGGTCACTTTCTACAGCATGACAGTCAAGTCTCATGTCCTAAGGTAGGCAACCGCAATAAGAATCGCATGGCCAAATTACACTCTACATGATCCAATGGCACGATATTAACTACCTCCCCGATTCTATTGGGGAGTCAACCAAGAATAGCCTCAGATATCGATTCCGGTGTCTGATGACGGTTTATCTAGTATAAAATATGAATATATTGGAATTATGTGGCTGCAATGGAAAAATCCTCGTCCACGCCTCTCATCACCAAAGCATCAGCAGAGCCAGATAGATTGCCAGAGGGCCGCTTATTATAGCCAGTATAACGGATGATAGACTCTGCTGGTCTCGAGGGGAGGACCATAGGAGATATGTGTGCACGACACAGGTAAGCACAGCTGCAGCAGTTAATTTTACTATAAATCATTAACATCATTACCAATTCTTTGCAAAACATAACATTCTCAAGAAATAGACCACGTACTAAGCCTGGTCCGGATTGTCTGTTCAGGGCTGAAGGTGGAGAGGATAAGAAGCGCGGAGACAATGTTAGAACATGTCGCCAGGACTGAACAAACACTTGGGTCAGCGACATTATCTTATTTGTGCAAAATTTGGGGTGTAGTGGCTGTCAAGGTCTATACCAGCTGAACTTGGTGTGCGTCTGGTCACTCTGGTGTCCAGGAGGGAGCCAGGAGGAGCGTTGTCCTTTGGTTCTGGTTGTGTCATGGAAGCCATTTCTGATGCTGAACTTTTGTTATTGAGAATTCAAGGGCCAGCACTTACATTTTCCCTCTTCGAAGGGCAAAGTACTACACTAGGGTCTTGATGAGCCAAGGACACAAAGTAGTATCGAGGCGTTGGCATGGTTCTTGGCGAGGATCCTTGGCGACCACCGGAATCCATATCATTCGCCAGTGAATTCTGAGTACGTTCGGAAACGCCTACATTTCGGGACCTGTCTGGTCAAGATCTGAGACATCAACCTCTTTCATCTTTCACTTTACTGAGACATAGATATCAACTATTGAACTGTCTAACTATATCGTCGTTGCTTTTCCGTAAAGAGCCGCGCACACTTGTCACCAGGAGGTGTTCCGGTTCTTGGCTAGTCTTGGCGCATTGAGAAGATAATTTTGAGGCATATTTTTCTTTGTAATAAGTGTCTTGTTAAAATATTATACCGCTATGATTATGGATATGGAATCTAGACTGACTGAAACTTCGTCCGGACACCTTTTTAGCTTAGTGGTATTATAGTTCTGCAAGTTTAATAAGGTACCAGAATAGTTCTGTCAACCATTCTTACCGCTACTTAATATATCAGTCCTGCTGCACTTTCAGCACATACGACCATAGGGTGTGGAAAACACATTATAAGGCATACTAGAGTTAGATGTCCTACACGCAATACGAGCTAGTTCAAATAAAAATATATTGTTTTGGTTGGTTTGGATAGTTTCAAAGGTGCGAAGGCATTAAAATCGGATGGGGGGTGTCCAGCTCGCTTAGGAATTACGTTAACAACTTATTGAGCTTATGTAAATGTGAATGACGCCAGCTAGCTCCTTAAGCTTAATGCCCAAGCAGGAAACATCACTCTCCATGATGTACTGTACACCGCAGGCGCTAAGTGGTGTCGTCTGGCCGAGATTGATCCGTGGTCATTCTTCCCAATCGCAGAGCGTTCAACACACGTCTGCGTGGGGCAGACGAAAATTGGGTGGATTTTATTCAGGTATATTGTTGCTTATGCTATCTCATCTGAGCAAGGATGGCTGGCTAACTCAAATTATTATTCTTGAGTGTGTAACATTACTCTCAGCGAGACGTGTGTAACCTGCTTCAACAGGTTATTGTGGAGCGGAGGCCGTGTGCCCATATGCTTAACTCTGCAATACTTTTGAGGTTGAACCAATTCTTTAGCCTCACTATGGCTGGTCGCGTTGTCTATACCAACACAACAAGCAGCAGGGCGCCCGTCACATAATGAAATTTTACAATTTACCATGACACATACTCTCAAGCGGTTGTCTAGCCAAAAACGAATTCCAACCGTCAAGATTGTTCCCCGTTGGCTTGACAAAACAGTATACATGAGGGAATCATATCTCAGCGAAAGACGATTAAGTCACCAGAGTTCGACCTGATACGCTCTCAAGTGCCACTAAAATAAATGACAAGCTCGATACGTTGAGTAATTTTTGACCCCTTAAGCTCTGGCAGCACTTTAAAAGTGTTTTGAATACCATATGCATCATCACGAGACTTTATGCCAGGGAAGCTCGGAAACGGACCAGAAACTCTACCGATACCGATACCGATACCGAAAGCAATGGAGTTAAGCCGAGGATGTGGACCGAATATGATCGACTGGAACAAGTGGATTATAGCTGCATGGATGGTGTTGGATTTTTATTATAGGTATATCATAGAGCATCATGGAGACAAATGGAGACATCTCCATGGCCATGGCGTGTAAGCAATTGGGATACGGAATCACAAGACACACTGGAAATATTAAAGATAGTACTCTCCAGCACTCTCAGCCCAAAATTCCTCCCGACGCTGACGAAACGCCCGCTCAGCGATTCGCATCTCCTCTGTTTTGCTATCCTCTGGAATGTTGTTCCATCTCCTAGATTGGCCCTGGAGATCCTTCATCACACGCAACAAATCCCTCCGTCTATTGTCGAAAAGCTCTCCGTCAAATTCGCCCGCCCAGCCCGCATCGCGATAAAGCTTCTGTAGAGCCCTCCATTGATTAAGATCACCACGTATGCTATCCTGGCCCACTCCCCTTTTCTCACATTGAACAGCAGCCTGGGGATCAGTCGGAAGGCGAATTCCACCAGGGAAGATATTCTGGAATAGAATAGGATTCTCCTTGATCTTACATTTAGGAACTTGCGCTCCATCATCCGGATCAAAATAAGGGATATACTCAAGATCCTGGAATTTCTTAAGGACCTTTGAGAAGAAGTCTTCACATGTTTGGCGGGGGCAGTCTTGCCATTGCTTTTGGTTTAGGTCACACCATTCCATTATAGTCTCTGGTGCAGACGTCAGCTAGAGCTTCAGCTGAAGGAAAATAAAGTAAAAATTAAGGGAGAGAAATAACATACGGTCATGGATATTATACAACACATTTACTCCATAAAAGGCAGGGAATGTCAGTCAAAGGATGGATGGGGGAAAGAGGCCCTGCGCATCCTTATCTGTGTGGTCAACCCAGCGCAGGGTCTCCAACATGTCATTAGCATTAGCTGTTTCTGACTGTTGCAGATAATTAACCAGCTTAGCATGAGGAATCATTTCTATTCCTTCATCATTATAACTCCAGACTGCTTCATTTCTAATTGCTAGCAGGAGTTAGATGAGATCAACCACTTCAGGTTGAAACCCAAGTCTCTGAAGGCGTCCAACATCAGCGTCGTGAGGGGGATACAGCACATCAGTAGGGGCAATATAATGGGCTTTGATAAATAGAGTGAAAAGATGGGAGAGCCCATTGATGAGACACTTGTGTTTTTCGCGAATTGTACCCATAATCATTAGAGTAAGTAAAAGTGGTTATTGCGGTGGAAATTGGAGACAGCAGAGGGAGAAAAAACAGGCGGGGAAGATATTGCCTAGGAATTGTATGCTGGCGTATTTATAACTTGTGTATAACAATAATAATACTTAATGTATCATACCTACCATTTCTATTCCATGGACAGTCTGGCCTTGGCATGTTTTATGCACTTATTTGTATTATTATTCATATGTAATTTATTTAGAGTAAAGGTGGTAGCAAGCATACGAAGTGCCTGGCTAGCTTGGAAAGCGTAATGGAATGTATAGGATATTCATGAATATTACAAGGGTTCCTGTGTGGATGTGTTCTAAGTACTGACATGCTGTGTCCAAGATATAAAGGAACGAACGGTGCTTTTTCCGTTGCTGCGACAGACATGGATTCCCAGAATAGCACTGCTCTCCGCAGACGGGCAATGAGTGACTATACTATCGTGATGTCGATTGTTAAGCGTAGCGCTGCCAATACCATTGCGAAACCAAGCTGCCTTGCCCAGCTACTCAAATTTCATATCGACAAGAGTTCTGAGAGAAACCGCTTTACATGTGACTTCCTATTGATAACAGGGGCAGCTGGCGCGCGACTATGCATCTGATGATCAACCACGGCCAGAAGAATAACAGTGTATATGGTACTTGCTGCGATTGAAAAGGACCGAAGTCACCGGGTGATACTGAGTATTGCCTAGAAAAGGGAGGGTAAAGAGACATACCTGGGAGCTTCTCTATGCAGATAGAGTTGTCATATATGACACCAGTCCTGCTCTTTCCCAGCACATACGACCATAGGATGTGAATTGTCAAGGAATATCATATCATCAGCAGTAAATCATTGAATCGTATCTCCTCGCTGCGATTCAGGGATATTCGTCTCATCTATTTCCTTGACCAGCCAAATACAAGGAGGCCCACTATCCAGGCATCGTTTGGTTTTTCCAACCTTAAGATCTCACGTAATCGTTCAATTACGCCATGACAATCTAGGATTTATGTCTACGTATATATATGGTGACCCTCCCACCTACTAGACGACATTATATCTTAGAGGCCTTTCTCATCTGTTCACATATCAAAACGAAAAAGCGCAAAACTCTGCGGCATCATGGCGACAAATCGGGTATCCGAGAAGCCAGGAGGCTTTGTTTTGACAGCCGAAGCGTTAGAAAAAGCTCTTCCAGCTATGGCAATGGCCACCAAGGCCGTTCATGCGGATGACTTCGTCAGTCCTCATCGCGCAATCGCACCTGGAATACATGTTGCTGTCAATTATCGATACGCAAGGGATCCAGAAAATTTGGTTGAAATGGAAAATATTGATGTAAGAATTGAGCATTGATTACGCAAATCCCGTTAACACTAGTCTATAGCCAAATGCGCCTTTTGACTCGCATGTGTACTCGCGCTACTCGGCTCCCAATGCCAATCGGTTCGAAGTCGTGCTGCGCAGCCTGTTCGGGGGCGAGGTGGTCACATACTCTACTGGTCTCTCGGCGTTCCATTCCATGATGATTTTGCTGAATCCCAGACGCATCTTCATCGGTGACGGATATCATGGCTGCCATGGCGTGATCGATGTGATGAGCAAACTGACCGGCGTTCAAAAGCTAGATCTGACAGATCTGGATCAGTTGGGGGCTGGAGATGTTATCCACGTCGAAACGCCGCTCAACCCCACAGGCGAGGCGCGAAACGTCTCCTACTACTCTTCCAAGGCCCGGGAAAGGGGGGCTTTTTTGAGCGTAGATGCAACATTCGCTCCGCCTCCTCTTCAGGACCCTTTGCAGTTTGGTGCGGATATCGTGATGCACAGCGGAACTAAGTATGTTGGCGGCCACTCGGATATGCTTTGTGGCATTTTGGTCGTGCATCCTGATCGTGTCAGAGAAGGGTGGGCCGAGACCCTCCACGCAGAGCGTAGAGTCTTAGGCAACGTCATAGGTAGCTTTGAAGGCTGGCTTGGCATGAGGTCTATCCGCACAATGCATTTGCGAGTTCTCAGACAATCCGATACTGCAAGGAAACTGGTCCACTGGCTACACGAACAAATGCAGGACCACGATACTGTGGTCGCCAAGGTTCTTGATAAAGTTCAACATGCTTCACTCCAACAGGAAGCCTTGAAAGAAGGTTGGCTCCAAAAACAGATGCCAGGCGGGTTTGGACCTGTATTCTCTATTCTGGTGAAGAGGTCTGAGCACGCCAAACGCCTACCCAGCAGGATGTATATTTTCCAACATGCAACTAGCCTTGGTGGCGTGGAGAGCTTAATGGAGTGGCGGGCCATGAGCGACGCAGGCTGCGATAAACGGCTGCTTCGCATCAGCTGTGGCATCGAGGAGCCTGAAGATCTTAAATCAGATCTTCTCCAAGGTATGAAGTCACTTTTGCTGGATTTTCCTTAGGTTGAGTCCTAGGCATTCAATTGTGTAGAAAACACCCCAGTCCTGGTGGAAAAGGTCACTCATTTTTCAAATTATGCTTTCCAATAACAGGTTCGTTGATTGGGCTTATGTATCTTAGCAAGTAGTTATTAACACCTTTTCCATGCACAGCAGTCAGCCAACAATAATTCACAGAGAGTTATGGGGTGGGCCCACTGAGGCCGTATCTCGTCATCGTACGAATTCGTGCAATATTCTGCATAGTGGGAGCAGGGTTTAATGACCGATGGGTTGTTACCCAAGATGCTTAAGTGTTGCTCGTCGAGATTTAATCTCAGGCCTTGAAATTGAATKGATTGTAGCGCTGCCACATGGACTAGATTTTGGCAGAGCTAGGCTTATGGCCAAAGAGCTCCCGGACATGATCTTCTATCTGCAATAGAAGAGGCTCCGGTGTTTGAGATACAAGCCGTTCCTGTATGGCCAGAAGTCGATCAGACACGTCTTGCCAACGAATAGTATGATTCGTTTCCAAGAATCCTTTCCTATCATCCCATTCAGTTGCTTTGACTGAACAAAGCTTGCCATTCTCTTTCCTCAACTCTCCATCCACCAACACTGTGTGGATATCACGTATTGTCGAGTGCAGAACAATGGCCATGACAGGATCCTGCTGGGCCACACATATCATAGCGGGGCTAAGAGCATCGAAAATCACTAGATCCGCCTTTTTGCCCACTTTGATGCTACCAATGTCATGCTCCATGCATAGGGCACGGGCGCCCTGAATAGTGCCCATGTTAAATGCATCGGATGTGGTGTAGGTGATTTCCCTCGGCCACACGCCCTTTTGAATGTGAACGTCACTGTCGATTCCTCTCGCAGTCTGCAATGCTACCCGCATCTCATTGACCATGCTACCGCTTGTAGCTGAGTGGCAATCCACACCAAGAGAGCATATTTTATCAACGCCGGGAAGGTCATTTCGGAAGCAGACTGGAGGCCCAACCGCCATGGCAAGCTCGGTGTTTGGAGTGGCAGAGACAAAGCAGTCTGCGTCTTTCAGTAATTTGACGTCCTCGGAGGTAGCCCCGCCACCATGTGAAAGAACCATGCCTTTTTGTAAGAGGCCATAGGACTTTAACAGCGCAGGTAGGCTCTCACTGCCCTTGATAAAATTTCGGATAAAGTGCGACGTAATTATTTTCGTGCCCAGGGATTTGACCTTCTCGAAAACCCCCAGTACGACCTCTTTGGGAAGGTGGTAGAAGTCAAAGCCAAACCCTAACTGGACACGGAACTCGGGGTTGTTCAGCGGCTGCGAAATGGCAAGCTGCTCAAAGGTTTCCATTACCCAGTCTGGCAGAGGTTCAGGAGAGAATTCAATCTTTGGTTTCGTAGTCGCAACAACGGATACAGGAGTATAGCCGAAAACCGATCGTATGCCTGACGAAATAGTTCCGGCAATTGCTGATCGACCTTAATCAAACAATATTAGTATTCTGGAGCTTGACTGGAAGAACTTTTCCGTACTATGATCTTTAGACCAGTTCATATGAGCGTGGTCCAAGGTGGTTGTAGTTCCGGCATCAATAGCCTCCAAACTGCCCGCCAAATTTGCCCAGAACATGTCCTCTGCCTTGAGCTCCAACCCTGCGGCGATAACTTCAATTTGTAAGTTGGTGATTGCTTTTATTTGGGTTATGAATGGACAAACCGATTGCCAGGTATGGGAAGAGGGCCGTGTCTCCGAAGAACCCCTTGAGTGGCGACTGCCAGACATGGTGATGTGTATCTACAAAACCAGGTGATATGATCTTATCGGTGCAGTCTATGATGTGACATCCAGTAGGTGCTGGAATGGAGGTCTCAATCTTCGAGATCCGATCTCCCTCGATGAGAATATCGGCTAGTCGAGGGGACACACGGTCATGCTCGCCATGGATGAGAACGGTTCCTCCTCTTAGGAGCTTCGGGGCTTTGTTGAGCACAGCCGTGCTTCCTCTCAAATGCAATGACATGATAACCAAATGAGGAGATTATTGAGTGAGAAAGTTCGAGTGATAGAGCTTTGTTCTCAGAGCTGGAAGGGATATCGCATCCAGGGAAGATCTTATATAGCAAGTTCTCCGGGAGGTTACGTTGAACAGAAATACTGATGAATCATGATGTTTTTAGAATCGGAAATATTAACGGTGTTAGGAGCATAAAGTCCGAAGTTCCTGCCAACTGTTTCTCATAATCAAGGATCAGCCCTGAGCTCGAAAGTGGCTCGCTGTCCATCATACTCGCATTCAGAGACCAGGAATGGATCCCATGTCATTAAGCTTTTGTACATGTAACGATGGTAACGTAACCACTTGCTCACATAACCACAAACTAACGGAATTAAATGCTCACATAACTGACCAATAGACTTTAACAGCATCCGCCACCATTTTACCAAATGGTCAAGCTGGTTCCTAAGACTCATCCTTCACTCCAGAACAGATATCTACATAAACACATATCTACGCGAAAAGGCATTTCGCTGAAAATTTTCGAACTGTTCTTTGTGGTCCAAGATGCCAAAGATTAATCTGTTTGAAGTTGATCATGTTCGTGTCCTCTTAGACCTGGCATTGAGATGTACTAATGTGCTTCATAGTGGATACTATCTCATTGTTCAGATATCAAGCACAACCTTGCACATTCTTATTCTCTTCCGAGATCTATTAATGATGTGCAACAACAATCCAAGGATTCTAATACAGGGATGGAGATTTTCTCTCCCATCCTCTCAAAAGCACTGGACTATGGCCCTATGAAAGGGTCAGAAGCTCTCCGATCAAGAATCTCCCATCTTTACTCGTCTGAATCCTCTCACTCTTTGTCAGCAGAGAACGTAGTCACTACTCCTGGGGCATCGCTGGCGAACTTTCTTGTCTTATTTGCCTTGTTGGGACCAGGCGACCATGTTATAGTGCATTACCCCACATATCAACAGCTTTATGCAGTTCCGGCATCATTTGGGGCAGATGTTAGTTTGTGGAAGACTACTTGGGACGATGACTGGAAGTTGGATCTGGACGAACTAAAAAAGCTCATTCGACCGAACACCAAAATGATCATAATCAAGTGAGTCCAACAGCATATTTCCCCGTGTCCCACACGGCTTCTAACCTTGACTCCTTACTTCTAGCAATCCGCAAAATCCGACAGGCGCAATCATTTCCAAGAGTACTCTCCAACAAATTCTACAAGTTGCGAGTGAGCATTCAATCATCGTCTTCAGTGACGAAGTCTATCGTCCTCTTTTCCACTCGATCTCGCCCACGGATCCAGAATACCCACCGTCGATTCTATCAATGGGTTATGAGAACACAATTGCCACCAGCTCTCTGTCTAAGGCATATTCATTGGCAGGGCTAAGAGTCGGATGGATTGCTTCTCACAACTCCAATGTGATTGATCTTTGTGTTAATGCAAGATCTTACGCCCTTATCACGGCCAGTCAAATTGATGAGCATCTTGCGTCTTTTGTACTGAGCCCTGATTTGTCTCAGGGGTTGATCCAAAGAAATAGGACACTGGCACAGCAAAATTTGGAGTTGGTCCAGGCATTTATCGATAAAAACAGCTCAGTTTGCAAGTGGTCCAGGCCTGTAGGAGGACCGATTGGTTTTATCAGATTTGTCAAGTCTGGCAAGCCCGTCGATGACATGGAGCTCTGCACTCAGCTTTTACAGAAAAGGGGCCTTCTCCTCGTTCCCGGCCGGAAATGTTTTGGGGATGGTGTTAATTTCTCCGGTTATGTGCGCTTGGGATTTGGGGGTGACACAAAGGAGCTGAAAGCTGGTTTAGAAGCCTTGGACAACTTCCTTGAGACTGATTATGTAGAGGTACCCTTGTCCGTCGAGGCATAGATCTGTGTCGAGACATGAAGCGGTGACTTACCGCTAGCAATTGGGTAATTTCATATGCACCAAACACTTCTCTGTGTTTTGTGTAGTCAATTCGTATTATTGGAAGCTTGAGTGTTCGAGTATCGGCACTATCCTTGGGCTATTTCAACCTACCCTGGAGCTTTCAGTTATTCTCTTCCATCAATCAAACTTTTCATCCTAAATTGCTTCCGTTTGACATCATCCTCAATCTCATTTGTCTTCTTGGTCACTGGCCCATACTGTCTTAGCTTGCTCAGAAAATCTGTCATATCTGTATTTTTCGAGTCTTGCTCAATTGTAACCAGAAATATATCTCGATTTCCCTTTGCCTTATATCCTTGACATTCATTTCTCTTTCAGTGCTTTCTTCGTGGATTTAGCGTGGTTGGTAATACAGCGACAGAAACCCAAAGAGCGAACTTGAAAGTACATTTTCAAGCGCTCTGTCAAATGGTGATTTTCAGCTGCTTTTTTGTTTCTTGTTGAATTAGATTACCGCTTACCGAATGGAGAAATTCGGCCATTCCTTCGATAAACCTTCCAGTATAGGTGATTCGGCCAAGATGATCATGCAT